AATCTGGTTTCCACAAACCCTTGAAGGATAATTTATTTAATCTAAAGAAAAAAATGCGACAGAAATTTGCGGAAAACCGAGTTTCATAGAGCAGGAAACCTACTTATTAAATAATTCAACTCTATATTCCATCTCCTTTTCGGCCATTCCAAATATCTGCATCAATATCATATACAACATATTCAAGTACATGCAAAACATATCGAACAAATTAACCAGGCTAAACAAAACTTTAATCTGAAATGCTATGGCGCCAAATAAACCAACAGACTGTACCCACAGACACAAAGAAGATTCCGTAAACATCTATTAATTCCCTTGAGAGACGAAAATAATAATTAATGATCACATTGTCGACATGACTTCAAATTATGAATGAGGGCAACAAAAAATGCTAACCAGAATAGGAAGGAGCACTGGAATTCTTTCCTCTATCGGAAAAACCAACAAAATGTTTTAAAAGGGGGGGGGGGGAACCTGCCTGTTCTTTATCCAAAGTCGAAGGCATGTTGTTGTTGGCAGCCATCGCACCCTAAAAATTAACAAGAAATCAGACAAATTCAGTGGATAAGAATGAAGGGTAGAGCAAGACCAAAGGAAATTTCGAGTACTTGCACGCGAACACGCCGAAATAAGAAACAAAGGCCTGAAATTCGAGAACGAGTTGGATCTAACAGAACTAGTGTCCAGGGTCCCCAAATTTGATAGCAGAGGTCAAAATGAAGTGCGCCAAAACCCTAGAGATTCACAAAGGGTTAAGGAGTAAATTACAGTGCAGATGGTAACATAACCACTTAACCAGTAAACGGACGAGATCCGATGTTAAAATGAACGAAGTGTCACAAAAACCCAGTGATTCGATGCTTGGATTAGCATTTAAAAATCACTAATAAACACATTTTACGTAGCTACGCATCGCTTAGCAGACCACTTCGGCCTCAGCTAAAGGACACTTCAAATGATGACCTGTGTCATTCTGCGGGGCAGGGGGTTGTGGGGTCCGTAGAGATTATGCCAAAGTGACTGGTCATTTTGACCCTGATTTTAAACGACCCGTTGTTGGGTTGGCCGTTTATGTAATGGGCCGCAAGGGTTCTTAATCAACTGGGTCTTGAGACCATCGTCTTTTTTAATATTTTTCGAATTGCTTTTCATCAAAGACATTGAATTGCTGGTCTAATTTCACATTATTTTTCAAACAAATTGAAATACTCCCAGGCCAAGGATTAGTGGGCCAAGTGTCCAAAACTCTCTTTTCGGCCGCAAAATTCTCGAGGGCGATAAGACGTCATTTATTTTAAAAAAGTTCATATAGTTTTGAGCTGTACGAGGATAAAAAAATGCATGGGCCTAATTTTGAAGCCCAATATTCTGCATTCCTTTTCGTTTTGATATCCCCGAGAAATATTTGGGAAACATATCAACCTCCCAGAACCGAAATGGAATTGATAGGAACAACTTCAATTTCATATCTCGGTAGATTCATACGCACTGACTGCATTGTGTTCGTCACAATACACCACTAAGCCAATGAAAATTTTTGTGATACCAAGAGGTCATAAAATGCCTAAACATGTTATGCATAATATCAAGCATTGTCGCAGATTCAAGGAATGCCCCCAGCTGTAGTCTGTAAAGCAAAAGGAATATATCAGCTTGCTAGGGTTTCAACTTTCTGGCCATTGTCTGCTGAACCGGTTGAGTTTGGACAGCTTTCCGATGATTTTACTACATTTTTAATGTATCTCCAGCATCGTTTGTGAACTCCACTAATCTTCTTTGGCGAGTCTGCCGCAGGCAAGCCTGCAATATGTTGTAACGAATAAGAAAAGCTGAATAACACGGACAATCAACTAAGTTCGCACATAGGAATGTTTCCATCACAAAGTTATGTCTTCAGAGCGAGACCTGTGATAAGATGCTCTTGATCTAGTTTAACGATTTTATTTTTTCAAAAGAGTCACAAAAATACACCTCGGGAGTTTTCTCAAACAAGATGACATTATCTAGCAAGAAGCGCATCACAATCAAAATGTCTTTACACTAACCACTTCGTTATTCTGCCGAAGATTTCAGAAATTGAATACTAAAGTGAACACGCTTGTATGAAAACACGCCTGCTTCAATGCAATGCGATCATTGAATAGCCAAGTGCATCGCTTCCCCCCCCCCCCCCCAAAAAAAATTATACAAAATATTCTTTTTAAGGTAGAATAACCAGACATAACTCTTGCCATCTTTTCCTTCAGCATTCACGTAATATACTTTATGGTAGAAAAATAACTTTGACTTTTTATCAAAAAAATTAAAGAAGAAAATAACTTGAACTAGCACCTTACTCAAAGTCAAACCCATAAGCAACAGAAATAAACTCAACTAAGCATCAATTCAACCGATTAAGTCTGGATGAATATAAAGCTTCCCAGGGGAGAATGAAACAGCATTAGTAACGAATGTAATATTAGCCAAAAGGAGTTCAAAAGTTATATACTCATCATCCATTCAGTTATTTCTCTGTGGTTTATAGATTGCACTAAAGAGATTGAGAGACATTGCTAATGGTACGAACTGTAAATACTACCATGTAGCAAGAAAGATTATATAAGGAACAAAAAGTTACGAGACACATTATACAAATGCGATTAAATTCTTGAACACGAGAGATGGAAAACTCCCCAGCCCTAACAATATCTCTGAGAAAATGAGGTTGCAGAGCCATAATCACTGACAATGGGACAATTCATCCATCAGAAAGGCGATCTTGACCTATAGTCCCATTGAAGGATGGTAGTGCAGCATATAATTACTGACTTCAACGATTGTCAGGATCCACTTATGTACTGGCAGAGATAATCGTTTTACCAGTATGATAGGCAAAACTAAGATGACAATAGCGAAAGAGGGGGTGGGGACCAACAATTATTTGAATAAAGTGCTGGTAGGAAACTTAGGACTGACCATTTTTATGAACTACGCCCCATGCCTTGCCATGCCTTCCATCCTGCAAAAGCGGTAGAGACATATAATGTAAGCCACTGAACAAAACAATGCAAAGGTGCATTTGGTGGAGAAGGGTAAAGTTCAAAGGGAGAAAAAGACCTTGTAGAGATTGATTTTGGTGATTTCGTAAGAGACGTCAGTCCAGTGAGTCTTGGCCATGTGGTATCCGATTCCCCAGCTAGGCAAGAACTGAGCGACCTCGAAAAAGTTCTTCTTTCTTTTCTTGGATTTCTTGGAGGATGTAGGGTTCTGAGAAGCAGAAGAAGCCGAAGACGAAGCAGAGGTCAAGTTTCTGAAGAGGCTGAATGAGAATCTGACGAAATGAGAGTTTCGAAGAGATTGGGGTGTCCTAGCAAGAGCAGTCCCCATTCTGGTGCCTTCGCTTCCCTGCCAAGCTGAGATCACTCCTCTCCTCCCTTCGGCGGCTGCTGCCCAAACTCACTTCTTACTTTCCCGGATTTGGATTCCGTGCGTGGATGCCTACGCACCAGGTGTGAGAACTAAACGCCGGCGTTTTAAACGCAACTGAAACGGGCCGCTTTGCATGCTGCAAAGCACAACGTAGGACCACAAAAGAAAAATTTAGGATCACATCACCAATAGTCCTATAGCTTATTGGCACAAAAAATCTCCTATAACGAAAAAAGTTGTAAATTTGATCAGACGTGTTTCATTTGAATTAAAAAATAGTATGACCATATCCTTAGCAAATAATTATTAAAGAAGCATTTTCATGTGACTCCCAAACCTTTTCTTTTAAAATATTTTTCTTGAAAATCTCCAGCTTCCAATCCTTTAATTGCCACCAATAGGTACACCAAGATCAAGGACTAACACCTTGCGTTGTCACGTAATCCTTAGCAATCACTTTGCAATTTTTGCCGCCTTTTACTAGGATTCCTTATTAAAAAGGTTTGCAATCTCTAGGCTCTATTGTAATGATTAAATACTCCTCCTAAAGCAGTAACTACTAACAATTTTAAGATGTAATATCTTTGGTTCTTAATATAAGGCCTAATTGACTAATTTGGAGAAATTAAAAAAATTAGTTAAGTCAGTTATTTATAATAAATAAGTATTGTTTTGTCTAAAATATCCTTGCTAATCATGTATATTAGCTAGAATTATCATTTGATGGAAACCTTAACATGTATAACTATTACAAGAACTACTTTGAAAAAAGTGGATAAGTATAAAAGACAAAGTAGATTGAGATTTTATAGTTAAGATCAAATTAAAAATTAAATAAGCTTTTATATTAAAAATTGGAGATAGTATATATGGAAGAAATTGCTGGCCAAAAAAATGTACCAAAGAAATCAAGAATAAATTATCCTTTATTGTCCAGCTCCCCCAAAGATAAAATATTACAATTATATATACACATTAAACATAGTTTCTTTTTTAAAACAACAAGACCTAGTTTTTATTTGCCCGCAAAGTACGCGTGTAGTTAAATTTTGTAGATAAGATGGACATTTGACAATTAAATGGTCAAAATTATTTAGAATTCATCACTGTGGGGCCTCTAGTATTTTCAATATATGTCTCCACAATATACTACTATCTCCGGTCCTTAATATAAGACCTCGTTTGACTTTTAATTTGATCATAATTATAAGACCCTAATCCACTTTATCTCTCGTATTTATACATTTTTTTCCAAATAATTCTTCTACTAATAGTATTTCTAACCAACACATTTGATTAGCAAGAATATTTTAAAAAAACACCTATTTATTACAGATAACTAACTTATTTTTTTAATCTCCTCAAATTAATCAATTAGTTTTTATAATTAGAACCCAAAATAATAGTAGAGAAATCGACGTTTCCATTTCTCCATAGCATGACCGTTGCACCCTAATTCCAAGGTTGCCGTGAGATCTTTTTTTTTTTCAAAAAAGAAATTTTGCCCCTGCAGAACACCTGGAGCCCATTATACATTGCGGAGGAATAAAAGGTAAAAAGAAGAACGATTAACATTCAGCATGTGAAAGTGGAGGTGGAAAACATGAATGGAGTAATGTAACATTAAACAAGGCCAGAAAATTACACTGCCATTGTTTTTTGTCACTGAAAATACAATTACAACAGAAAAAGGGGGCCCTTTAGGGTAAATATCGCTATTTTTTCTTTATTTTATTTTTTTGATCTGAGTGTCCCTCGAGGAGATTCAAATCTGCATTAAGTGACTACTGACTATTATTTTTGATAGCAAAAGAGAAAATTGTGGGAGACACGGCTGTAGCAAGTTCAGGTGATGGAGAATGGCAACTCCTTGGGCAGCAGGTTGCTTAACACCTCAACTTCTTATTACTCGAAACATAGCGAAAGTACTCCGTATGTACTATGTAGTTTCCTCTTCACACCCCTTCGCTTAACTTTATCCACCGGCATGCTAATGACTGTCCGTCGGAGACACGGGGAATCAGCAATTTACAATAACACACATCTCCCGTTGCTCTCAATTAAGCATCACATTCACCATCGTTCAGCATACTTACATCAATTCCGGTAGCAGAATAAAACAATGATAAATTTGCACCGGCCACATCACAAATGATACGACACACCACAGAATGCCCAAACAAGCAAGATTCTTCATTCACATGCTCCTTGCAAAAAAATTCTTTCCCAACTTCAAAATAATATGTTAGATCTGAATATATAATGGAATAATACCTCGCACATGAGGGGCCACACAATCACCTGAGCAATTTTCTTTTGGTCATGCAAAACTTGCTTTGGCCCCGCCTTGAGTTATGCTAATGCTTCTTTAAACCGATGTTCCAACCCAATATTTAGGTAGACTTGTACGATTGACAAAATCCTATCTATTATCAATTTCAACTTCACAAGCGATTCATTTTAGTGTAAAATGAGATATAATCCTGCTAAATTATCTTCTAAATTGCTTTCCCATCGCCAAGGACCGGACTATATACCCTCATGACACTACTGATTTTCATACATATCAAGGGATTATATATTTGCTAAACATGACCTGGTCTACTAAATGCATCCTTTTCACAGAGAAAGAAAAAATTGTTACCTAGGCATGCAAAAATTTTGAATTAGATGTTCCTAAACTTGTTTCTTACTCAGATAATGGTAGAGCTTAGACGCATATTTCCCTGCAACTATCTGTATAACATCTAAAACCCTAACACATCACTAAAGCATCAGATGGTGCAATCATTTCTCTTTAGCCCATTGCATCCAATTAACCAGCATTCCAGCTATTTCCAAAGTTTCCAGTAACTACTGCAAGGCTCTCGAAGGGTTTGATGTCACGCTCCAAGTCTATTTGAGGAGCTACGCAATAACAGTAAGAGCGATTCTTCTAGCTATTAGCCAATTTTATAAAAAGTTGATCTCTTGTTTGACTGATTACAGATTTCCAGGCCAGTTAACTAAAGGCATGCCTAACTAGAGGTAATCCTTAATTTGATAACCATATAAAAATAAGGCTTTTCTATGATTTTAGAATATAACCTTCGCTTCTGAAGTTCTGAGTGAGTAAAACTAATTGTAGAATCATGGCAAATTGCAAGGGAAAGAACTTTGATCCAGACATTTGTTTACTATATTACACAGTTGTACAGCAAAAAAATAAATCATGGGCACTCGGCACTAACATCAGACTACACAACTTGGGCAGTCAACAAATGATAGACTCAATAAATATTTGAACCAATGGGCCAATAACATATATTTCGCGAAGGCAACAGGATATTTTTCACAGTTCAAATAGAGTCTAGTAACAAAAATTAAGTATTAAAAGGCGCAAACCTGAATAAAAAATATATGGCGAGGGACAGATTGAAGCCCATAATTGCAAATAAGCATACCTCAGATTCAATTAGAGCCCAAAAGACAGTGATCAAAATATTGAAAGATGATACAAAATCTTAACTAGCAAAATGAGATTTTAGCAATAGTACGTGAAATTCAACAACATGGGAATAACAGGAGACAAATTAATTACTCCATTTTATCTAACACCACTATACCATCAGGATATATTCTCTCCTTGTGAGTCAAAAAAACTAGCTGACACCCTAAATGTTATTTCCAACATGATAGCATGAAAAGCAAAACTAGAACATTCTATCACATCAGACCAATACAAAGGTTATCACAAGCATTGCGCTAGAAGGATTCCATTATGATCATTCAACATAAAAAAAAAAATCATGTCAAAACAGTGATTTACAGCCATAAAACAGAAAGCATATGACTCACCCCCACTCCACAAACTCGGTCAGTTGTTGAAGCACCAGTTCCAACAGGCAAAAATAGAAACCTTGCTCATAGTATGTAGCTGAATTTTGTTAAGGAGTGTAGAAGTAATTAAATCGAAGCACTTGTTCAACAACCAGTGAACAAGAGCCTGGTACAATAGTTAGTTTCCTTTTTCAAATTATCCTAACTTTTCAGGCTCCAAATATTCAGAATCAGAACCTAACAGAAGCAGCAGCTCTGGACTTTTCAAAAAATCAGACATCCAGAAATCATGATTCACACCAATCAGGCATGCAAAGCTCCTCTTCTGTTCAGCAATCAACAAATGAATGAGAGGAATCAAATAGATTAGCCTCCGGAGTTGTACAGTGTACAAGTTAACGTTGTAATAGTTCAGATTTGTCTCACAGCAGCCCAGGGACTTCTCACAATGTTTTATCAATCTTGTTACTTGCTCCATGTCAGGAAATTGAAAGGGTATTTGAAGAACAGAACCTAACTCTGTTATTGACGCCCCCAATACTCCTCAGTTGAAGAAAGCTATGGAAGGAGAGTATAAAGCACTAATGAACAATGATGCCCAGTAACTAGTAAATTTAGCACCTGGAAGAGAAGCAGTAGGATGTATAAAGGCGTTCAAAATCAAGAAAAATGTTGATGGCTCAATTGCTAGACGTCCACGTGGTTACAAAAGGGTTTCAGGGGGGCACGATTACAAAGGAGCATTCGGTCCAGTTATAAAGTCTTGTCCTTATAGCTCACACTAGAGGATGGCCTTTTTCATAAATTGATGGGAATAATGCTTTCCTCAAAGGACTGTTGCAAGAGGAAGATTATATGCAACAAGCCCCAGGCTTTGAAAGCAGCAACAATCAATTACTGGGTAGACTCAATGAGGCTATATATGGCCTGAAACAAGCCCTTGGTTTGAAAGATTGGGTGCTGCCTTGATTAAATACAAGTTTCAGCTGAGCAAACGTGACCGTTAATTTTCATTTAGAGTCACACCTACTGATGCAACTTACGTTTTGGTTTAAGCGGATGACATACTCATCACAGGTTCCACAGATCAATGAATTAAAGATACGATTGAAAAGCTGGGAAGGGGATTTTCATCGAATATCTTGGCTCACTTAGCTATTTTCAAGGTATTGAAGTGAAGGCCCTCAAAAGGATGGCTCAATTAAGCTGTTACAGATCAAGTATGTGAAAGACCCTCTGAAAGGGATGACAAGAAAAATGCGATGGGCATTTCCAATCATGTGGCTTCTGGGTTGAAGTCAAGAAAGCAAGGTACTGATTTGTTGGAAAATTCTCATTTGTAAAGATCTGTGGTTGTTGCATCACAATATGCAACAATCACAAAGGGAACCCCAAGCACTGTTCTTGATGAATTCAGAACTCATCTAGGTGCATATGAGTTGTAGAAGAGTGCTTCGAATTGACAGGTGTTGAAGGAATTCAAGTCTGTTAGGCTGTTGTGTCCTTTCATAATATTTAAGAGTATTTTGTCTGTTAGTATGTTTTACCATTCTATATGAAGGACCCTGTACTACTTCCAAGTTCCAAGTCATAAAAAATACACCAACACACTTTCAGATCACTCATCCCCACCCCCTAACCCCCCCCCCTCTTTTTTTTCACTGATAAAATCCCGCTCACCTTTCTTTGATTAATAACCCAAGCAAGTTCAAACCAGAGATATTAGCCCACTTATAATCATTAAAACCAATTGTTTCTGTCAGGCTTCGGGTTTGGCTTAGACAAACGCGTTCACCTCAGCTAATTTAGATCCCAATCATGTAAAAGATTACATAAAAACCACACAAGTATTTTTTGTTATTGCAGTCTTCATAAATAATACTAATATCAGGCTTTCAACTCCAGCAATTTAGCCTTGAGTACGAACTATGCAATAACTTGTTGAAAAAGGCAAAAGGAAAGCGCCAAAAAATTTCACCAAGCATAGAATTCAACACTAGGTTGTAAGTTGGCTACCAGCAAATTCTTACCACAGCACATACAAAGACGACCAGGTAAATTGTTCCACTGAAGTTTCAGCCTTTTGTTGTCTGCTCCCCCGAACAAAGATAGGATGAATTCAAAATCTATTATAGAAAAGAAATTTTACCACAAATAAAAAAAAATTTACTTACATCACATCAAAAAGCATAGCTAACTTAGAAATTTTGGTATGCAATTCAAATTAATGAAAGGACAGAAATGCACTAAAGGTGACTTTTACTTGGGGAACGCATCCTATTTTGACCAGTATATTTGTTTCATTTTCTTCCCAATATTACTTTAAAAAATGACTTCTCCAAGCTTTAACCTAAATGAATGTAATTTGTAACATCACTCACAACTATACTTTCCAAAGAACCATCAAAAGCTAACAGCTGATGTCACATTGCGTCACATTGCATCGAAGATTGATGTGGCCTAAGTCTCCTAGTTAACAAACATCTGTTAAAACCAATTGATTCACCCAGCCACTATTCCATTTAAACTCCTTCAAACGAAGCATCAGAACACATTGCTCTACAACAACAACAACACAGCACTGCACCAATATAATATTGCACTATTTACAAGAAAAGTAGTTCATATTGCTCAAACGCAACAAATACTCCAAAACTTAAGGCACACAATTCTTCTACTTCATGCTTCAAACAAACAATCACAGGCATCCTTATTGTTGTTTTATTGTTTACTCCAAATTGACCAATGACTACTCCAAAACCCTCACACATCCGATGGAAGTACCACTACATGGCACTCCAATCTGGCACACAACACCGTTCTCCTTAGCAACAAGAATGCTAAGACTAGTCTTGTCATTGATAAAAATATCAAAATTGTTGGCAGCAGAATTACAACATCGAGGCTAAGTAACAATAGAGTCCAAAATTATTAAAAATCTGGAGTGTTTAACAATTGTAAACCTTCATTTACATATTGCAGTCCAATTGAAGAACTACACAGGATCACAATAAGGTCTAGCGACCCAATTTAAAAAGTCTAGCAAAGTATAAAAAGCCTCGAATAGGAAGGCATGAAAAGAAAAAGGCAACCAATAATAAGGAATGGAAAAGGACAAACTTCTTGTTGGATGGCTAATCAGGAAAGAAATAGAAGGGCAGGATAAATCATAAACTTCTGATATTCAGTTTGGTGTAGAACAGTTAATTATGAGTTTTTAAAACGATAAAGAATTCCACCTTACCTCCAACAATTAGGAGGGGCATTAAAGAATTGTGTGATCATATTATATAGGGAATAAGAAAACAGTCGCATCTCTCACAAAGGAAAAAAAGAAAATTCTCATTACTAGGAGGGAAAAGTCTCCAGATAAACCTAGTGAATGCTTTTCCTATGAAAACAGGGGCAAATATTGATTCTCCTGAAATGGTGATCCATGTTTCAGTTCATCCCCACCTAAGCAAGTTTATCAGGTTCCACGTGTATACATAGGTTGAAATCTAGGAAGATTTTAGATGGAAAATTCGCTGTCAATCACCATGTTTCTAAAGGATTCGGTCAAATCCTGTTCCTTTCAAGTCACCAAGGAAATCCCTCTTCGTAGAAAAGAAACAAATTTTAAAATTTTGGATTCCTCCTTTCCATTTTAACACGTGTTAAGTAGTCGTTAGCTAAATATCAGGTGTTTTATCTATTGCTAACAACTGAATTGAACTAAATTGAGAGTACGACTTGACAGTATGAAACCAATTCTACTTTTGTAATTATGCAGCTCGTTATGGAAATCCTGTTAGTAAGAATTCCGAAGCAAATTTGCATCATCAAATTTATTCTCCAAATGATCCGGTGGATAAATTCAAATTCCTTGGTAGGTTTCTAAGGCTTAATTTGACAATTATGATGCAATTTAAGAACCCTTTATGAATGAGTGTACTGCAGTCTACAACAGGGTAACATTCTATTATCAGATATCCAATTACTCAAATAATTACACATGGTGCAGTCATAAGCATAGAAAATCTGAAGATTCAAACTTTGCATCAAGGAACAAGACAATCTAGACTAGAATATTCAGTTACAATAAACGTGAAATTATCATGGAGCAGCTATAAAGATAGGGCATAATTGCTATCTAGAAAAATTGTACCTCATCATACGCAAAACGAGAAGGTAGAAACTCTTTGCTATAACAAATCGAGAAAACTATCCTAGTTTCAAATTATAGATTTCAAATTCAAAAGCCGTTAAACTTAACTGCCACAGTACTCCAGATCCAAAAACCATCCCCATTAACATGGCAGCAACCTGAAATGACAAAAGTAACATAAACCACCTCAACTAGAAAATGGCATAGAGAGATGAGTATTGCTAAATGCAATAATGCCACAGGAACATCTTTTGATGAGAAGTGCACAAGTGAGACACAAGACTAGAGTTGCAGCAAACCCCTACAGCTCAGTGCTTATTTCCACGGCCCTCAAAGCTAGCATTTCTTGACTTGCTCCCATCTTCAATTGAGGATTGTTCACTAGGTGTTCTACAAAAATTAGTGAATAAATCACATTACAAAGCAATAAAGGGGTTTATCTTCCCAAGGAAAATTTAAGTTTTCTAGAAGAATCAAAGAAATCGTTGTCTCCAAAATGACAACTGTTAGAGATTATTGTTGTCATTACTCTAACAATCAGAAAATAAACTTACAATTTTTGTTTTTTAGCATTCTGTTTGATGCTTTTAACCATATCCACGGCCATCCTCTGGTGCTCCATTGTTTGAGAATGCATGTCCAACCCTTCAACAGTTTCACAGTCAACTTTACATATCCGACACCACCCCATGCTTGCCTTCCTTCTCTTCGGATTATCAAAGGATCCAATATCTCCCTGAAAAACACAAAAGAAAACACGCACAAAGGTATATATAAATAGCAAGGGGAAGAAATCTTAAAAGTTTCAAAAATATTAAAATTTAAATTGACCCAACTTTATAGCTCGAGTCTTAATCATTCTTCAAGTACAATGGGCAGAAAATAAATATATAATGAGTCAATACTTAACCGTTATTAGTCCACCATCATTAGGAAACCCTGGAAAGGAAAAGCTGCTCCTAAACCCAGGCTCACCAAGCCGCGGGTGACCCGATCTGTTACCTCTATTGAAAGATTCAAAACTGTGACGACCACCAAGTTCAGCAGCTCGCACATGACCAGCAGGGGCACCAAAACCAAGAGGCTCCCCAAATGGCAAATGTCTTGGCATGTTATGAGGACCCAAACGATCACCCCTCCGAAAATGCCCAGTAAAGTCATCTTGACCAATGAATTCACCCCTTGGATGTTCACCAACTCGCATGCTACCAGGACCCTCAAACTCACCTCTATGAAAATGGCTCGGCAAATTAGAAAATCTACTATCACGGAATGCACTGCCAAATGAGTCACCAAAATGACGTGGATCTCTTCCATCAAAGTCATACACGCTTGACTTACTAGCAATACCAACAGAATGGACACCAGCTCTCCCCAAATACATTTCAGCATGTTCACCAATAGGACTTCGCGAAGTTGGACCATCCATGTGATGCATCCCATGTCTTGAACCTATTCCAAGATAATCACTGCGATGAGTATCAGATTTCACCATGGCATCATCATGGAAAGCAATTGGTCTATCTCCAACATCATTTAAAGAAAAAGGGGGAGGAAACAATCTTGAGGTAACACCATCTGCAGGATTCAACTTTGACCCACTGCTATAATTTAACTCATGGGAACCTCTATTATGTGGACCTGTAGAATGGCCCCCATATTTTGAAATGGGCTCAGCATCTGCATAAGGCGCAGGGAACCTCTTGAGATCACCTTCAAACTCTCTTCGTTCAATATTGTGTTGGCCAGGAATGGGGAAAGGCTTGAACCTTTCTTCATCTGATCCAACACCATGGGGACCATTAAAGTAACCAGGCCTTGGATGCGGGTAGGATTCAGAAGCATGTGGTGGTAAAATTGTTGTTCCACCACGCACATCTCCAGTACCAAACTGTGGCCTTACACCGGATTCAACACTTGGCAAATTGGATGCACCAAGATGAAAAGGTGCTTGACCTTGGTTGTATCGACTTGGAATTCCACTAGAATGAGCCAGAAAACTTTGGCCGGCAGGGCTACGATACTTGCCCTGATCAGCAAAGAGATCTGGGCGAGAAAGCTGACATCCACCAGACTGCCCATGACCAAGTGGAGTTATATTTCTGTGTTCATTAACCCCAGGACCTTGAGGAGTACCAGGGGTTTGGGCGACAGCTGAGGCAGCATTATCAGCATCCAAAGGAGGTTTTGAAGTGGGCATATCATCATTCTGCTGCTTACCAGGTTGTGAATCATTCAGCCGATGATCATCTTGAATCTCCTTGTCTTTCACACCAGAATGGTCATTGACAGTATTGCTCTGAACCCCAGATACCGCATCACCTGATTTATCTCCATTTAAAGGCTGCCAACTACTTCCAGCAGCCTCTTCCTTCACAGAATTTTTGTTCAACACATTAGCATTTCCTAGTGCACTGGCATTCATGCCTGTTGTCTGCCCAGGCTGCACACCTTCACCATTTTGCTCATTCGCAACTTCATCTTGCTTAATTTCTTTTCCAATTTTTACTTCTGATTCTGATAAAGGCATTTTATCCACATCCTTCACGCTTTTACCAGGTATTCCAGAAGCAGAATCAGATTTTTTCTCATTGAGAGCACCTTGTTTGCCATATGGATCTGAAGATCTGGACAGCAGATCCGAAGAGGCCTGTACTTGATTATTGGGCCCAACAATCATATTCTGATTTCCATGCAAGTGGCCAGCACCAGCATGCGTCGGCCTAACCAGGGAGACATTAGCAGTTTGTGCAAATGGTTGTGATGGCACTGTATGATTGGGCAACAAAGGCCTCCCCATGGCATTTTGAGACTGATTGGACTGAGGGTTATGTGATAATGCAA